TACTGCCTTAATGCTACAATCCTAATTGTTAGAGCACTGTGGCCAGGCTGTAGAGCCAGTAGCTGCATTTTATATTTCTTACCTAAAACTTAATTGTTTTCCAGTGTCCAGTAGATAAACCAGTGGAAGATAAAGCTTGAACATTGTTTGAGAATTTTGGGGTTTTCATATGACCTACAAACAGTTCTTCCTCCTTGGGATGTGTGGAAATTTAGTATTTTTCTCAGCTGAAAATTGCTTTGCTTTTGATGTTGCAATATTTAGACACTTCACACATGTTAATAGTAGTTGCGTATCAGAGTTGATTTGAGTCATGAGGCAGTGGTGTGAAATTAAGTAATTATTCTTTGCTATGAGTAATCTGAACTAAAACAGGATGAAATCTGAACATGTCAAAATAACATTTGTTGCTTTATTAAAGGATTACAATATTACAGGGGTAATCTAATATATTAAAAACCCTACTTTCAGTTATATACAACACATGCTACATGACACATCAGTTTAATGCACATCATACTGTTGTAAAGAAGTGATGAGGTAATAAGGGAAAAGTGTGCAAGCACATGCACACAAACACACAGTAAGTATCTTACAGGCTTACTGAAAAATATATTGAACTTCTAGAGGCTTTTGCTCTCCCTCTTATATGCATTCTTTAACTTACATTTTTTTGTAGTAGTTACTGTTTTGAAATGGGTGTTATAACAATCTGTTCTAGAAACCTGCCTCAGAAGAATATTAGAATTATCCTAGAATTTCATAGTTGTGACTGACCTCTAAATATAGATGAGTAAATCTATTTAATAATTTGACAGTAATACGTTATAATTGTGAAATACAGTAAATATAACTCCTCTTGGCTACAGGTAACTTCTTTATATAATTTTCATCTATTGGCTGAGGATATTAAATAGCTTATGTATTGGTATCCATCAGTTGCCTGCAAAGTTGGATAGTCCCTTTAATTTATATCCAGCCATTTCTGATTACAGAGGCTACACAGCAGGTCATGACTGAAGGCAGGTACAAAATACTGTCCCAGTTGTTGTGTAGTATAACATGTTGGCTATACAGCCCATTATATCTGTTGTAAATCTGGATTAATTTCCGTATGCAGGTAGCTACTTCATTTTGGTAAGAAAAATCATTAGTATTTTTAAAATATTTGAATCAAATGTGAATTCTAATTTATAGGAGCAGATCATTAAAATGCTCAAAGCGAAGGGGAAAGACTGGTTTATCATGACAGTAATGGTTTGAGTATCTGCTCTCAAAATCAAATTATACAGTACTAACTTTATTCATGGCAGTTAACAAAGATTAAATTAGAATAATCACACTACTGTACATGTACCAGCTACAAAGTTCAAAGGATATGATTTCCTGTGTCAAATGATTGCTTATAATAATAATAATAAAACTCTTGCTGTACAGTTTGTAGTATTTCCTGTATTTGAGAATATTTATACATAATATAAAATACAAAAATATTTAAATGTTGTGGCAGTATTTTTACCATCCAAACTTAATTTACAGGGAATAAAAACCAGAAAGTTTATCTACAGTCCATTTAAACTGCCAGTTCTAAAAGGCTTAATATAACTACTTTTAGCATCAAGAGGTGTTCTGAATGGTATGTCATTTCAGTTCCTTTTTTTTCTTCAGCTTTTTTTTTTCCTGGAATGATTCTTGAAAATACAATATACAAGCCCTCATATCTTAGCAATAAATGTACAATATCTTACATTCCTCATTTCTGAAAAGATAATTCCAGATAATAACATCATAGCTTTACGTGATTTTTAGAACAAGAAAGCAAGCCAAGAGAAGAATTATTTCAGTGAAATGTGTTGGGGTTAGGTCTTATCATCATAACAACTTTCTTTAGTGAATATGATCCCCCCCGGAATTCAGCCCAGTAAACACCATCCTGATAACGACTGCGGTAGTGTCCTCCACGATACCAAACTCCATTGAGATTTGAATGAGCACATGCGTTGTACCACCATCCTCCCTTCTGGTAATGAGCGCAATTCCCTGCAAAAGAAAGCTCCAATTCAGTCTGAGCAAATGAAAAAATCTTACAGCAAGCAAGGAAGCTAAGCACAAAACAATTCTCTTTGGGTTGTTTTTTTTTTTTAACTGTGTGTTAAACATGTAGATACCATGTGGTACAAGGTGAATTTAGGCTTCTTCAGACATCAGCTCTGCAGTTAGGTTCTACAGATGGACTCATTAGTGTTACTCTGCCTTGTTGGAAAATTTGTTTGCATTACTGTCTCAAATAACCTCCCATAGCATATTTTACAGACCCTTGTTTAGCGTAAATGATAAATATTTCGATGAGAATTTTTGTTTCAGTGTTAGTACGTGTAAGGGCTGACATACCAGTTTGTGCTTCGTAAGTTAGTGACAAATCTCTAAAAATGTAATTTCTTTTTTTATGTGTGTGTATCACCACAAGTTATTTTTCCTTTTTAAAAAAAGGGGGTGGTGGTGGTTAGGGGGAGGAGCAGGGCAACTGAAAGGGACCTTGTACCTGTGTATACATCATGGTCCCGGTCCAGCGTGGTGAACTGTTTGCCATTGTGCCAAGTGAAAGAATCTCCCGCATTGCCATTGTAGCGTCCCAATCTCAACTTGTAATACTCGCTTTCTGGCTCCAGTCTGAAGCTAGCGTACTCAGCAAAGACTTTTCGACCTGACCAGTCTTCCATTGTTATGAGCAGTTTGTAGTTGCCTTGATTTGTTAACCAATAAATATTTTCTAATCCGAGCCAATATTCTCCATCTATATTACCAAATCCTTGCTGTAAAGGAAGCAAGAGAAGCATGTTAATATTGTGTATCTGTTTTAGTGGTAAATCTGAGTGTATTCTTAAGTAGAAAAACACAGTAACTTATTTTATAGAGACTTCCTCTTCTGGAAGGTTGAACACACAAATTCCTTTTCAAGTAGGCTGTTGGCCAGATTCTAAAATCACCCTTTAAATTAAATTTACCAGTAATTTTTAGAGGGTGGAAGACATTAAACTGCTCATTTGACCTAACCTTGTATGTCTCCCAGTTCCTGAAGAAGTTGACAGACCCATCCAGCCGTCTCTGAATGACTGTCCAGCCACCAGGGTCATGCCGTTGATCACACCACACCTGCATAAGCCGGTTTGTGTTTTCCGGTTTTACAAGATAGATGGAGCTTGTATCATGGCCATCTTCTAATGCTTGTAGACAGTCTCTCCAGGGCCCTGTGTCAAAACAGAAAGACTCTGCATCAAAATGCAATTCAGCATATCTTCAATGCAGGGCGGTATTTGAATTGGTAGCTTTTTACAGTAGATTCGCTTCTGCCGAGTAGTGCGTTTGTCTTTCCTCTTATTGAAGGTACAGTGTCCACTAAGTGTTTTCAAACAGATTAATTTGTTATGACTTTATTTCTCGAACATTTCACAAGGAATTACTAATAAAGGTAGATTTTTTTAAAAAATTTATTTTAAGGCAACTGCACTACAACATTGATTATATCTTCAGAGAAACTAAATATGAATGACTCCATAGATAAGTATTAATATTTATAATTTCCTTTAGAAAACAAAATGCTGAGTCTGACTTTGTCTTTGGGAAATTCAGCTTTTTAGATCCCCAAAAATGTCATTGGCACAGACATTAACAATGGAACGGACAACATAAATTAAGAATGTAGGTGTTACTGCTGTCACCTTAACAAACGATAACACAAAATAGAAATTAAGATTTGTATCTTGGAGTGCCCACTTATATAGTGAGAGAAATTACAGATAAATGAGAAGATTTCTAAAATGCTTTGTATTCACAAAAATTACAGATAATGCTCTCCTATTTTCAGAAGGAGAATGCATATTTTTTCCTTGAGTTTAGCAGAGTTCCTAAAGAGCTTACTCTTTTTGAAAGTATCTTACATTCATGATTTTTAAAGAAACTTTCTCCAATGGGAAGATAGTTAGATTCCATTTTAATCTGTGAGAAATTTAGGTATAAACATCTTGGGGGTCTGTGTTGATATCTGCAGATAGACCCCTGCCAGCTGCTTTGCTGCTGTCCTCGTGTCCCCCAAGCAGAAGAGTGAAGTCAACAAGAATCCTCGGGATTAGAGACCCTTGATTGACCACCCCCCACCCCCCCCGCGAAGGAGGAAGGCTTGTCACATCTTTTTGTGAGGAGTCTTATGTTGCTATCAAGAGTAATTTCTCTTAAATTATTTCAGTTCATCCACCCTTTTTCATAATTCACTGTCTGACACTGGTAATGGTAGAGCTACCCTTGTACTCGGTAAATGAGTTAGTAATAAATTAGTTTTATAGAAGCAACCTCAGTGTTTTGGGGGGTTCGGGGTTTTTTGGCCTTTTTAACTAGTTAATCAAAAAGTCAGTGTACCAGGAGGCAGTCCAAGTTTTTGGTCTGTGGCCACGCTGTGTTGTTCTTGTTTCCTTAGTCATAGTCACAGACTGGACCTAGAGTGCTGCTTCTAAGTCCCTTCTCCATTTCTGTCGTGGCTAACTGTTCAGATTTCTGGCAATTTAGATGTAGATGCAGTATTCTGTGACAAAGTTGCATGGCTTATGTTGAGAGGTCAAAGATGACAAATGTAATGAATGCTGGTAATTTAAATTGCTCTTGTTTATTTTATCACAATGTGTACATAGTGATGCTTCTTAAAAACAAAAAAGAACATGTCAGTTCAAAGTCATTATTGAAGAAACTCCTAAAATAGTCAACCACAGATCTTTGATCTTGTCTTCATAAAAATAAATATATAGCAGTATATGATATAGTATTTACAGCTTTCTAATCTTGCAGTTTCTTTCTAGGCCACGTGGCAACAGTGCTCTACTGCACATGATTCTTTTCTCTGAAAGTGCTTTAAGATGAAGATAAACTATTCTAAATACTTCAAAGCAGAGTTTGCCACTATTTTTCCATGACAGGTGTTTTTTTGTCAGATACTAACTTTCCAAAATTTTGACTAAGGTGTGTAGTCTCGGATTTGTCATCTGGCATCAGAAATGAAAGGGAACGTACTGAAGACATCTGGCCCCAGCATAAATCTCTGTAGGACAGCATGGTTACCTCTGCCTAAAAAAAAATACTTAATAATTAAGGGAATTTTATGGGTTTTTTTTATGTGAGGCTCTTTCTTTGAACCTGTTCATTGCTTTCTGGAAATACATATGGACTGTATATCAACCAGAACTCTGTCTGTATAGGTACCGAGCCCTTCAAATATCTCTAGAAGTGATACAAAATTGGTATTACAAAAACCAAGTTGATTCTTATTCAAGGTGATTGGATAATGATAACACGATTCAGATTTGTTTACTGCTTGTTCTACTGTTCTTAGCATATTTTCGATCAATTAGTGGATTTTTTTTGGGGGGGGGGGGGCAATGTCACATTTACCACTTTTCATTCCTCACATACTAAGGCAATTTTTGGTGAGAGATTACACAGTAGTTAATTGTTTCATACTCAGTTTCCTCTAGAACTCTTGGGGAATGTGCTTTACTCTCTGTAGTTTGTTAGTATTTGCTTCTTTCCTTGGCTTTATAACTTCTTCTACCAACATTTCAGTTTGAGCTAAATCCTGCAGAGTATCCTCCTTGCCACTAACATAGTCAGCACATGAACCTCAAAGTGTCCCCTCGGTGAATACTCACATCAAAATTAATGTAGAATTTCTACTGCTGCCTTAATTTCTCTGAGTGTATCTTTTTATCTTT